TTAATGGTAAAAGACCAAACTCAGGATAGTAGTTACCTCAGAATAACACAAAGAACCCTAAAGGAGATGTGTGTGTGCACACATGAGTGTGCACATAGGTATATATTTTAACTGAGTGGTGGTTACATGAATATTTGTTGTCACTGCTTTATGTATTTTAATATATTATGTAAGTATGCCTTTTAAAAGCTTCAGTATTGAAAAATAAGAGTATCTAAATGACCATCAACTGATGCATGGATAAAATGGGACACACACACACACTGGAGTATTATTCAACCGTAAAGCAGAATGAAGTTATATTGTTTATAGGAAAATGGATAGAACTGGAAATCATCTGTTAAGTGAAATAAGCCAGCCTGAGAAAGACAAATTATTGAATGTTCCCTGTTATACGCAGAATGTAGACCTAAAAAATGAATGACATGAGTGTAAAATGGGACACTGTTAAGGGGTGGGAACCAGCAGAAGGGCTGGAGGTGAAGGAGGGGATGAATATGATTGAAGTACTTCATACACATGTATAAAAATAGAATAATTAAACCTGTTAAAATTTTTAAAAAGGGAAGAGGGGATAAGAAAGAATAATGGGAGTAAATTTGATCAAAGTACATTATATGCATGCGTGGAACTATCATGGTGAAAAGAGAAACTGCTTTGTACAATTAATACATGCTCATAAAAAAGAAATGAGAGTTAGAAATGCCTTTCATATCCTCTATTTCAGCTTAAGTATCACTTCAGAATGTTACTTGTTTTATATATAATGCAGATTATAGTTTTCTTAACACAGTGACTGTTAATGGTGATGAGGTTTTTGAACTATAATGACATGAATGTTGTTTGAGTCAAGATCTGACAATGCAGTGTTCAAAGGCAGGAGAGTCCAGAAGTATGGTCAGCATATATACTTTTTGTATTTTCACTGCCTTCAGAAATACTCTTATTAAATATTGAATTTTAGAAAAAGTACATTACAAATGTTATATGTTCATTGAATATTCAGTCAATAGTTTTGTTTTGTTTTTGTAGGTACTGGAGGTTGAACTCAGGGCCTTGTGCTTGCTACCACTTGAGCCATGCTGGCAGGCCAAACAACCAACAATTTTTAAAGAGTAAAATCTAGCCAGGCACTGGAGACTGAGACTGGGAGGACTGCAGTTCAAGGTCAGCCCAGGCAAATAGTTCATGATACCCTATCTCCAAAATAACCTGAGCAAAATGGACTGGAGGTGTGGTTCAAGTGGTAGAGTGCCCTGAGTTCAAACCCACAAAAAAATAAATAAATAAAATAAAATTTATCCTTTCCTTTCATCCCCCTGAAGGTGGAACTCATGTTACTCATGTTACTCATGTTAAAAATCCTGTGGTGAATATATTTCCAAGCCTTTCTGTGTGCTGCACCAACCATACACAAATATTCTCTCTTCTTTAGGAAAATGAAATTGTAATAAATGTATCTCACTGAAATCTGGATTTTTAAACCTATCAACTTTTCCAAATCACACATATAGACTTAACTCATTCCTCCCACCACTCTTGGTTCTGAGAATTGAACTCAAGGCCTTAAGCTTGGCAAGCATGCTACCATTTGAGCCATGCCTCAGTTCTTTTATTTTTAGTTTGTTTTTCAGATATGGTCCTGAGGTAAGTTTTGCTCAGGTTGGCCTTGAACCATGATCCTCCTGTTTCAGACTCCAGAGTAGTTCAGATTATGGGTATGTACTACTACACCCAAATAACTGATTCCTTTTAACGGCTGTATAATGCCATCTTTGGTTGTCATAATTTCTTTACCAGTCCCTTACTAACAGACATCTAAGTTGTTTCCAGGTTTTGACTGTTCCAAAGAGAATTAACCAGCAATCAATCCTCTTCGTGAGTGTGTTATTAAATACTAACACTGTTTATTTTTGTAAGCTATGTTCCACAAGTGGAAATGATAAGAAATTTTTAATGACTTCTAAAATTTCCTTTTCTAAGGTTGTTTGTACTGTTTTTCATGCCTTCCAGAAACATTATGAAGATGTCAGCTTACCACACCATGACTCGCTCCGAATGTCACTCCTTGTCTTTTTCATGTTTGTGAATCTGATGGCTTCAGTTGGTTGAAGTTCATGTTATTAACTGCTAACATGGTTGTCTTTTCATTTGTTTATTGACTGCCTACATTGCTACTTTCATATTTTTGAGTTACTTATTCTTTCTACTTAATATTCTACTTTTAAATATTCTAATTTTTAAGTATTTTCTGTTTTTAGACTTTTAGTTATCTTTTGGAACAACCATTTTTTCCTGCCTTGACATTTTTAAGTCCTGTCTATTGAGATGCAATAGGCATACAGTAAAATTTGCTCTATTGTCCTGCTCAGTGAGTTTTGAGAAATGAGTAGCCATCAGCTTATCAAGGCAGAGTATTTCCATTATCCAGAAAATTTCCTTGTGCTCCTTTGTAGTCAGTTTCCTCCCACCCCAGTCCCCGACAATCACTGATCTTTCTATCCTGATACTTTTATCTGTTTCAGAATGTCATCTAAACGGAATATAATAGTATGAGCCTTTTGTGTCTGGCTTCTTTGACCCAGCATATTGTTGTATCTGTCAGCTGTTTATTCCTTCTATTGGTGGGTAGTGGTCTTTTGTAGGGCATTGGTTTCCTGGTGCTGCTGTAGCATGGTATTGTATTACAGACTGGCTTAAACAACAGAAATTTGTTGTCTTGGTTCTGGAAGCCAGAAGTCTGAAACCAAAATATCTTCAGGATTTTTTGTTTTGTTTTGTTTTGTTTGTTTTTTTTATGAGGTTCATGCCTCACTCCTCGGTTTTAGTAACCCCAGACATTTCTTGTTTTATAGCAGCACAACTCCATTCTCTGCCTCCATCTTCATAGGCTGTCTACTTTTGGGTGTCTTCATATTGTCTTCTCTCTTGTGTGCCTGTGCTCAAATTTCCACTTTTATAAGGACACCAAGTAGTTATTGGATTAGGGCCCACCATAATGATCTCATAACTTGATTATTCTGAAAGACCCTATTTCCAAATAAGGTCACATTCTAATGTACTGGGGGTTACTGTTGCTACATATCTTCTGGCAAGACCACATTTCAACCTATAACACAGATGTTGGACCACATTATTATTTTTTAATCATTCAGCAATTGATGGACATGTGAATTGTTTCCATCATGCTAGATAATCAAAACAGAAGAAGAGAAGAAACTTGGTTTAATGATCCTTTTTATTCTCTTATATGTGGAAGAAGAGGGGATTATTCTTCAGTTCAGATTGGTACCTATCAGCCTGTCTATAAAAAGTGCTAGCAAGGCCTACAACGGTGGCTCATGCCTGTAATCCTAGCTACTTAGGAGGCAGAGATCAGGAGGATCGCTTTTCAAAGCCAGCCTGGGCAAATAATTCACGAGACCCTATCTTGAAGAAACCCTTCACAAAAAAGGGCTGGTGGAGTGGCTCAAGGCGTAGGCCCTGAGTTTAAACTCCAGTACCGCAAAAGAAAAACAAAAAGTACTATCAAGTGCTGGGCCAAGGGAAGGAAGAGGAGACTTCAGAAAGCTTGTGACTTAGACATAGTCAAAAGCAAACAAATGTGATAAAATTAATTTAGCCAATCTAATTTTTTTACTTATATTTATCACTTTATAGAAAACTTTCCTTTAAATCTTTTTAGGAGGCCTTTGTAAATTTTCTCCCATTTGTTCCATAATGAATAGCTGCAGTAGGTCATGGCCAAACTTGAGCATTTAGGTCTGTGTCAGTTTGAATTTTTCCCATGTTTCTCCAGACCATGACCTCTGGCCCCAGTAGTTCTTTCAGAGAGCTTTCCTCTCAGTGTTTTGTATTCATTGTTTTCCAGAGTGTTAGAGAAGCAGCCTTGAATGAAGTGTGTGCCATATTAAAGAATATGAAGCGTTAGGGCTTTAGGACTGAAATGAACATGCAGTAAGACAAGGAGGTAAGAAGGCAGTTTCAGAAAGACTTCCCCAGTGTTGGAATTTTGATCTTCAACCACAGTAATTTTCCTACTGCTAAGGACAGACCATAAAAATGAGAATTATATGCCTAGCAAGCATAAGGCCCTGAGTACAAGCCCCAGTACCACAAAAAAGATTTAAAAAAATGAGAATTATAAGGAAAATGTCAATAGGTTTAATCAAGTTACTTCAGCAAATGTTTACTAAGGATTTAATATGTGTTATTCACTTATACCAGCTGCTAGGGTGTAAAGAGAAATGAATTAGGTCTTATAGATCCTGCTAAGGGGAATTTTCTCTATTGTAGGGAATCGTTGAAAGGTTTTCAGCAAGGATGTCATAATCAACCTTGACCTCTGGCAGGGATGTGGAAGCAAAGTAAATATAAATGACATCAGTTACTGTAGAGTCCAAAATATCAAATAAAAATTGGCTTTTAAAAAATGACATGGGGAAGTCCCATCAAATACTAAGTTTGAAATGCAGGCACTGAAACATGCACAACATGATTTTGATTTTTTTGTACGAGTTAAAAAGATGAAAGTTAAAAGATGAAAAAAGCTTATGAAATATACACCAAAATCACAAAATCTTAATTGTGTATGCTGGTATTTTGCATACTTTTTCTATTTTTCAGTGTTTTCCAAAATTATTACAATATACACAGAATTTTCAGTATCAGAATAAGAAAAGAATGTAATCAAAATTTTTTTTTGGCAGTACTGAGGTTTGAACTCAGCTTCATGCTTGCCAAGTGGGTGCTCTACTGCTTGAGCTATGCCTCCATCATATTTTATATTCCAGAATGCTTTTTTTGTTTGTTTGTTTTTGGCAGTACTGGGGTTTGAACTCGGGGACTCATGCAGGAACTCTACTATTTGAGCCACTGTGCCAGCCCTCCAGAATATATTTTTTTAAAAAGAAACTAGGTAGCTCTGAGCCCTTCTGGACTTAGATACGGCTTTCTTTGCTTGATGTTTGTCTGAGTGACCCATGTCTTCCATCCTTCAGCATAGGAGAAAACGGCGCTCCACACCTTTAACTTCTTCCATACCTCCTTCACAAGCAACAGAAAAAAGCTCCTATTTTCAGACCACAGAGGTCTCACTCTGGACAGTGGTGGCTGCTATTCAGGCTGTGGAAAAAAAGATGGAGTCGCAGGCTGCCCGGTTACAGAGCCTGGAGGGACGCACGGGGACAGCTGAGAAGAAGCTGGCAGATTTTGAGAAGACAGCCGTGGAGCTCAGCAACCAGCTGGAGGGCAAGTGGGCTGTGCTGGAGACCCTGCTGCAGGAGTACGGGCTACTGCAGCGGCGGCTGGAGAATGTGGAGAACCTGCTGCGCAATAGGAACTTTTGGGTTTTGCGGCTGCCCCCAGGCAACAAACAAGAAATCCCAAAGGTAGCCCCACCGAGGATTAAAAATTGTGCGAGAAAGGGAGTTCAGCCCTTTATTAGCCAAGATTGTAAATCACTGGCTTGTCCTTCATGGGTGTGAGTTGAGGTGCTCATATGTACTGTTTGTGATTGCAGGTGTCCAGGTCTATTGAGAACGATGGTGTCTGTTTCTCTGAGCAGGAGTGGGAGAACCTGGAGGACTGGCAGAAGGAGCTCTACAGAAATGTCATGCAGAGCAACTATGAGACTTTGGTTTCTCTGAGTGAGTCACAGTTTTCTACCTTGGATTCTTCTCAGACATCTTGTAATTCCTGGCCAGTAGCTAGTGCCTCTGACCACATCTATGACTGACTGGCTCTGGATCCTCTGTAGGCCTGTGCTGGGAAGAAAAATGGGAGTCTTCAGGTCCTCCCACCTACAGAGGCTTTTGGAAAGATCCCGGTGTTGTGCCTTTTCTGTTTCTTCTCTGTGGTCACACAGTCACTTCTTGAGAGTATTTACTAATAGATAAGATCCTATGCTACCTGGTATGAGGCACCAGGCACACAGCATAGGCTGACTAAAACTTTTTTCTTGGCATTTGACTAGAGTCATAGTTATTGTGGCTTTAACGCTTATTTTATGAAGAGTAGAAATGCTGCTTAATCTGTGTAAATCTTTTTTTGGGGGAGTGGTTTGGCAGGACTGGTTTGAACTTAGGGCTTCACACTTGCTAGGTAGATGCTCTACTACTTAAGCCATGCCTCCAGCACTAATCTGTATAAATACTACCTATTATATAACAAATGCATTTTGTTTGGTAGGCAAAATCTTTTAAAATGTAAGCCCATGGAGAAGTATCAAGGAGGCCAGTGTGGCTGGACCAGAGTGAGGGGAGGGAAGTAACAACTGGGCCAGAGAGCTGATTGACCTCACTTAGGTCACACGCTCTCCTTGGGGCTGTTTCTTTGTCTGTCACAGTTCCTACCTTACCTGGCAGTGCCTCTGCTCCTTGAAACGGAGCCTCGGTAAGACTTTAGCCAGGTGCATGTGGTGAAGCAGTGGTGGTGCTGGGAAGAACAGCAGAGGCCTTAAGCCTGATGAAGCAGCAACTAGAGGAAGCAATGGTTAGGATTGTCCAGAAATGCCTAATTGTGCAACAGACCAATAATAGTAGTTTTTGAGTCTTTTAAAATGTTAGTACCAGCTCTCTGACAGTGGTCAGTTTGTTCATCAGCACTTGACCAGTGTGTAGTGAGCTTTCACTCTCCTGGCCTCATACTGTGCTCTCTTCAACCCAGAGGTCCTTGGCCAGCCAGAGGGAGAAGCAGAGTTGAGTTCGGAAATGCTGGGTGACTTGGAGGAAGAAGACCCTCATGGTACCCACCTGGGTAAGTAGCTCCAGAATACTCTATCCTGTTCTCCTACCTCCGTCCCGCTGGAGCCTGTGGCTTACAGGAGCTTTCCCACTGTTGAACTGCCAAACAGTATCAGGAACCTCACTTTGCATGTGCTGGTTCTAGACTCCTCTGTGGCTATCATTAGTTCACCTGTCATAAGTGCTCCTTAACTCCTACCTCTCTGGGAGCACCCTTCTTCCTGCTCTACAGAATAGAGGGCATGATAGGCTGGAGATGGAGAGTTGGCAGGTCAGAGCACCAGGAGAGAAGGAAATTCAGGGAAGGCATTTATAAACAGATAATTTGAACAGAATATACTGAAAGAACAGAGCTGAACACTTGAATTTTTAAGCTGTAGATTAGTGTATTTTTCTTCAATCTTTCAAATTTGTCATTTTTACACTCCTAAACTAATAGGATTGTTAGTGTATTTTGATATTTTGATTAAATATTTGATTAAATACCAGTTTGTGGAAAAGTTTGGAGAACTATCATAACATTGTTCTCTGAGAGTAAGGTGTTTAAATTTCCAGTCAAGTGTTGGAACCTTTTAAGTCTCATCTTCTCCAGGTTGTCCCAATTCACTTGTTCCTAAGGTGCTTTTATTTTAGTGTTTTGGCAATACTGGGGTTTGAACTCAGGACCTCGAGCTTGCTTGACAGGTGCTCTATCACTTGAGCCATATCTCTAGTCCTTTTTGCTTTAGTTCTTTTTCTAACAGAGTCTTGCATTTTTACCTGGACTGGCCTGGCAATCCTCCTACTTATGCCTCCCGTGGTGTAGCTGGGATTACAGGTACATACCACTCTGCTGACTTATCAAGTGAGAGTGGGTCTCATTAACTTTTTTCCTGGGATAGGCTCAAAATGGAGATACATCTGATCCCCACTTCCTAAGTAGATGAGACTACAGCAGTGAGCTACCTCAGCTGGCCTGGGAGCTTTGATTTGAGTCCTTATGAAGTTCTCAAGTGTTTGGCTCCAGAGGTGCCAAAGGTGTGGAATGTGATTTTTTTGTTTGTTTTCTTTCTTGCAGCAGATGGGGCCATGGTCAAACAGGAGGTGCTGTACAAGCAGGAGGGCTCTGCAGGTCTTCCTGGTGTGTTGTCTGGTGCTGCTGAAGAACAGGCTTTCTTGGGCCCAGAGCAAGCTGAGCTCTGGGATGGTCAGGATGGTTCTGTCCTCTTGGAATCATGCCCGGGAGACTGTAACCTTGAGGAGTCCATTGAGGGCAGCAGAGACCCTACCAGTGGCAGAATTCTGGACTGCCCCCGGAAGCTGAAATCCCATAGGCAGGTACAGTTGGGTCAGGAATGTGGGCAGGGTCTGAAGCTGAAAAGGGACACTTCTAGCTCCTACAAATGTTCTCAGTGTGAGATGAGCTTCCGCTATAAGCAGCAGCTGGCCATACATTTGCAGAGCCACTCGGGTTGGGAGTCTTACCCCACCACAGAGCCAGAGGAGAACCTTAGACCCAGGCCAAGGCTAAAACCGCAGGTCAAAAAGACAAAGCTACATCAGTGTGACGTGTGCCAGAGGAGCTTCAGCTGCAAGGTGAGCCTGGTGACCCATCAGCGCTGCCACCTGCAGGAGGGGCCCAGCACTGGCCCACGTGTCCAAGAGAGATTCTCACCCAACAGCCTGGTTGCACTGCCTGGCCACATCCCTTGGAGAAAAAGTCGGAGTGCTCTCATCTGTGGGTATTGTGGCAAGAGCTTCAGCCACCCATCTGACCTGGTGCGTCACCAGCGCATCCACACGGGTGAGCGGCCTTACAGCTGTCCTGAGTGTGAGAAGAGCTTTGTCCAGAAGCAGCACCTCCTGCAGCACCAGAAAATCCACCAGCGGGAGCGGGGCGGGTTGGCCCCGGAGTCTGGAAGGTCCAATGGCCTGCTTTAAGGGTGCCAGCCCCTCACCATCCGGGGGTGGAGGGGGGGTGGCATTTGTCCCCCGAAGAGACTGTGTGGAGTCAGGGACTAACTTTTTCCTGAGGGAAGTTGCTTCTGGTTTTTCTTCCCTTCACCAAGTGTCAGGCCAAGCCCAAAGGCTGTCCTGAGAAATGTGGAAGAAGGGGTCCAGGGCCTGGCCTCTCACTGCCATCTGGACCTTGGTGCTGGGTTTGCTGTTTCTATGGCCCCTTTGGGTCTCTGGTCTCCCCATCTTTCAGATACTCGGAGCCTGGGATTGGCACTCACCTCATAGGGACTGGTGGCCAGTTTTAGGGCCTGTCCCAGGATTTCATATCTTCCCATAGGTTGAGTTGGGTCACAGAAGTGAGCAGGTGTGTTGAAGAATTCTAGATAGTATAACCTTCCATTTCACTCTATTTTGTAGTTTCTTTGTGAATAACAAGTAGAAATAATTTAAATGAACTGTTTTACCCTGCTCTAAAGATCCTTTTTTGGAGTTAGATACTTGCTGATTTAAAAAAAATATATATATGTAGCCCAACACATGTTTTTTCAAATTTCAAGATTTGTAGAAGTTGTTCCTAAAATGGGAACTGGGCCTACCCTCTAGGAGGGGATAGTTTATAGGGCTCTTTTAGCCCACCCACACTTAACTTAGGCCAGAGAGCTGGGACTCACTGCTTCTTTTGGTGGAGGTGCTCAGTGCTCTTAGATGGGCTAATTGCTCAGTAGGACCAAGAGGAAAGAGAGGAGGAAGGAGAGATCCTGAAGCTCCTGCTGAGAATAAAGACTCCCGCAAAGGGGCCAAGAACACAGTTCTGGGAGTTGTGGTGTCTCATCATGCACTTTCTGCTGCCTTGCCCTGGCTATGTTTCTGTACCTGCGAGGGTGGAAGACTACTTTGTTACTCAAGGTTGAGGTTGTTTAGCTTGTGCCAGTGCTTATATAAGTTTGTTCCTCTTTTACACCAGTCATTACTTGAGGTTGTTCAGATTATACTTTGCAATTTCTGTCCCAGAGAAAAAGCACAGATGCTTGCCTCAGGAGTGTTATGTTCCTGACCCACTCTTGTTTGGAGAGATGAGAGTGGGCTCCTGGGTCATATTTGATTGTCCCTTGGATGATTTACAGTTGCCTAGAATAAAATTTGCTATTAGCCAAAAAAAGGGCTCAAATTGGATTCTTTTCTCCATTTGTCAAGAACACTGCCCTAGTGCCAAGGGGAAAGGAACATTTGCTCCTCAAGCAGTGACAGAGAAGACACGGTGTAGTCTGACCTGCACTTTTCCTTAAATCTAGGATAGATAAGAAAAGGGTATGAGCCAGGTGCCGGTGGCTTATGCCTCTAATCCCAGCTACTTGGGAGGCTGAGATCAGAAGGGTCGAGGTTGGAGGTCCCCATCTCCAAGATAACCAGAGGAAAATGGACTGGAGGTATGGCTCAAGCAGTAGAGAGCCTGGTTTGCAAAGGTGAACCCTAAGTTCAAACTCCAATCCCATAAAAAAAAAAAAAAAAAGCATGTGGACAAGGTTGGGCAGGGGAGCTTACCTGGGGTGGTGGAGAGCTGACCTTCTGGCGCTGGCTTTTGGGAGGTAGACAGGTTACCAAATAAAGTGTGGCACCAGGTGAGTACTAGGCAGCTGTAGACATGCTGTCTTAGATGTGAGAGACTGTACACCATGGATTCCCACTCTTTCCCATTCTTAGTTATTCTTAACCTTATTTGTCGAACGGTTTAGTGTGGCTAATTTTGTGCCTTGTATTGTAGGGGGTGGGGTGGAGAGGAACAAGATAGTTTCTTTTTTTTTTCTTTTAGCAGTACTGGGGGATTGAACTCAGGGCCACTTGAGCCATGCCCCCAGCCCCTTTTTGCTTTGGTTATTTTTTGAGATAAGCTTTCTATGTCTGGACTGTGATCCTTCTATTTATACTTCCTATGCAGCTGGAATGACAGGCCTGTGCCACCTCACTCAGCTTTTACTGGTTGAGATGAGGTCTTGTGAACTTTTTTGCCGGGGCTGGCCTCAAACTGTGAACTTCCTTATCTATCCCTCTCAAGTAGCTAAGATTATAAGTGTGAGCTACTGTTCCTGTGGGGTTTTTTTTCCCTTTCTTTCTTTCCATGAAAACTAGCCCTCATTCAATGTGTGTGATTCACTCTGTTTTACATAGCAGTGAGGTAATGTGGCAGAGGAAATGTGAAGTAAGATCATCTTACTTCAGAGCCTACACATGGCAATGGAGTGCTGTTGCTGAGTGTCAACAGCTCACACCTATAATCCTTACTATTTGGGAGGCTGAGATCCAGAGAATCATAATTCAAAGCCAGCCTGGGCAAATGGTTCAAGAGACCTTATCTCCAAAATAACCAGAGCAAAATGGGCCGGAGGTGTGGCTCAATTGGTAGAGTGCCTGCTTTGTAAACTGAAAGTACTGAGTTCAAACCACAGACCTCCTCCCCATTCCCCCAAAATAAAAAAAGCACAACTCGATGTCATAGTTAGATTTTAAGTTCCTGTTAGCCAAAGTGTGATCTCTGCAGCAGTAGCGGCGACACCCACTAGGGTCTTGATGGAAGGGCAGGTTCAGGCCCCATCCTAGACCCCTGATTGGAATTGGTATCTTGACAAGATCTTCATGTGACTGTTACACATGGGCACTGTCTTAAGTGATGCAACAGATGAACTCCTTCAATTGTCCTGCATTGAAAGCCTGCTCCAGGAGGTGCTGGGAAGAAAACAGGAAGTGGATTGAAGCAAAGGGAAGATGAAGTTACACAAATCAATACATAGGGCTGTAACGTCAAACATACATAACCAATCTGTCTTCTTCCTATTTCCATGGTGAAGTTCCTAATGGGTTTTTACTTGAGGTACTCGGTAATATAACTGCTCTACTCCTCATCACACCCTTTCTGTGACAATAACCAGTCATTGTCCTGGGGCACAGCTGGATATGGGCTTTCTCCAGAACCTTGTCATGGTACTCTTAAGCTACTGATGAAGAGCAAACTTTTTAGTACAGAACTGAGACTTTCCACAACCCACCCCACTGGTGTCGGTTCATCTTCTAGTCTCAGTTGTGTTGCTGCTGCATTGGACTTCCTGTCCTGAATAAGCCCTGCTTTCTCTCAGGGATGCTCTTCTCTGAACCATACACCATTTGGATTTCGCTGTTTCAGTGTGTAAGCCTTTCTGGGAGAACTTCCCTTATCCATTTTTTAAGGGAGCAAATATATGATAGGCACGTACCTTTAAATACTTGGGATACAACAGTGAACAAGACAGGTCTTGGCCCTACTTGAGTTTAAGTTCTATCAAAATCTAGTTTCCTTCTCTACTACACATTTGTACAGCCCTTTCCTAGACTAATGTAGTATTCCATTCTACTACATAGAAAGCTGCAACTTTCATATGAAAAAATTTTTTCTTTTTTGAGAGAGGGTTTTACTGTGTAGTCCAGGTTGACCTCAAACTTGTAGTCATTTTGCCTCAGTCTCCTGTGATTACAGGCATGCACCACCATGCCCAGCTCAATGTGAAGTGTGTATATGTGCGTGCATGCGTGTGTTTTGTTTTGTGGTATTGGGGATTGAACCCAGGGCCTTCCCTATGGGTATTCACAAAAAGTGGAGTTGGTATTGCCTGCTACAGGGAAGGCTTTGTGGGAAGGGGGACTGGGTTATACTTCCTGTCTCCCTTTACTCCTCCTCCTCTTCCTAACATCGTTATCATTCTTCCCAACTTAAATGACATGCCTGGGTTATAGGACGAAGTGGGCCAGGGGAACTCTTTCAGCTCCTACCTATTGGTAGGGCCAACAGTACTTGCTTGAGTGTTCTAACGCCAAACTGAGAGTGATCCTAGGTGTGAAACCAATGGCCCTCAGCCTTGATGACCCTACCTTCTGCAGTACAGCCAGATAGCTGGCTGTCTCAGTGACCTGTGCCCCTGTCAGTTCAGGGCCTGGCCCTCCATGTTAGCAATTCATGTGTTGTCAGTTTATAACTATGGTCAGAACCCCATAAGACCTGGCTCTGGGTCAGGTCTTAACTTGCCTTAAGAGAAAATGTTATTATACATAAATGGAGAAATGAATCTATAGCTTTAGCCAAAATGGAGAGAGCCATTCTCAATGTGTATGTCTCCTCATAGCAGTGTTAATTTACACAAAAGCCAGGAAATAGGCATATGTAGAGAAGCTGTTGGTCCCAGTAGGACCTGGGAGATAAGTTTCTCTCGAGGGGCCATGGCTTTTGGGAAGGGGGGGGAGCCATTTTCACTCCCAGCAGGACATTTTCTGCAGAGAGCTGGAGTTGAAACACAAATTTTAAAAGCAAACCCTAATTCCTGGCACCGCAGTACAAATTCACCCAGAGGTACCAGGCCTTTAGATCTGATCAAAAAAGAAAAAAAAAAAAAAAAAAAAAACTTTAACACCATAAGAGATTAAGTATTAATAATGAAAGTAATTTTAAGTTATATCACAGCTACAACTGGCCTGACACCCAGACTGGCCTGTTCAGAAAACCAAATTATGGTTCGAAGTATTTTTTTTTTAATTATTTTTTTTTGCCGTAATGGGGTTTGAACTCAGTGCTTACACCTTGAGCCACTTCATCAGCCCTTTTTTGTGATAGGTTTTTTTCGAGATAGATAGGGTTTCATGAACTGTTTTGCCCAGGTTGGCTTCTAACCTCGATCCTCCTGATCTCTGTCTCCTGAGTGGGGGATTACAGGCGTGAGACACCAGTGCCAGGCTCAAAGTATTTGTTTTAAAATACATTTATAAAGTCAGCAAGAGAATGTTGGGTAGCTATGAGGGCAGTGATTCTAAAGCTGTGACCTCTAGTTCAGTAAAACCAGAATCTCCTGGGAACTAGTTAGCAAATTCTCACCATTCCCACACCATCTGCCCTCAGACCTGGAGACAGGGTTGTGCCCAGCCCAGCCAAGCAATCTGTGTTTTAACAAGCACCTGAGGGGAACAGTGACATTTGAGTACCACTGACTTAGAGTAGCTTTCTAAAAAACTAATACCAGCTGTCAAAAATTAAGGCACTCTTCCTTAAGCAAAGATCCTCAAATACTAGCTTTTTTTTTCTTCTCCAGTCTATTTTCGGACTCTTCCTGTTTGTATTGGAAGTTATGTTTTTTCTTTTCTTTTTTATTGTTTTTGCATTTACTTACATGTGTATACATTATTTGGGCCACTTCCCCTTCCCCCCCTTTGGAAGTTAGTATTTTAAAGATCACAATGTACCAGTATTTTATAATCTTTAATATATTAGACTAACTGATTCTTGGTGAGATCCTATCAAGGTTCTTAAAATTTTAAGCCCACAGTTTTAAGTTGAGGTGGGTTATTTCAACAATGAATAATGCTAAATATTGATTTGCATTTTGTTGCAAACGATGAGTAAACATGACATAATTTGTAAAGTGATACTTCCTCATCTTGCTCCAAATTCCAGGGGTGTGCCTGGAAAGGGTGTCAGTTTCTTTATGTACTGTGAGGACCGAACTGAAGGCCTTGCCCTTGCCAGGCAAGGGCTCTTCCACTGAGCTAATTACCATCCCAGCTAACCACACTTTTGTTTGGAAAAATAAAAAATCTTTGGAAAAATAATCCCCCCACCCCCACAAAAAATAACAAGAAAAACCCCCACACACAAAACTGCTGATTAATTCCTAGCAGAAAAAGTTTACTGGCTTGTTGGACAAAGACCATAAGTTGAATGGGAAATGCAGGAAAGGCAGAAAAGAAAGCCTGAACCGCACACCGCACATTTTACTTTATATTCAGGAGCTAACTCTGGTTTCAGAGGCGGAAAATCAGTCCTAGATGGAGTAGCTTCTTCCAGATGCCTCAGGGCACCTTAGAGATGAGTGACCTTGCAGGTGCAAACACAAGCTGCAGGAGGGCAGAAGGGGCCAGCCCAGGTCAGCCAGTGGCTGAGACTGTGAAGGGACTGGCCTGGGTGCCATCCCAGTCTGGAGTCAAGGATAACAGGATCCCCAGACTGGGTGTGGCAGAGAGGGCTTCAGGGGCTATCAAAAGTGTCCAGAGTATCTGCTTAGGCCCCAGAGAAATCCTAGAAGTTAAGATCCTAGAAAACAGGGCTAGGGTAGAGGATTCAACTCCAGTTCTTGCTCTCGGTGTACAGCGCTACATTGAACTGCAACCCAGCCCTAGGTTTTTTTTTTGTTTTTTTTTTTTTAATGAAAAAAACCAAAATTCCCCTTAGTTCTTTCCATTTATTCTGAAAAACTGAAAGAGGCTTTTAAAAACCTTTCTGGGGTTTTTTCTGTCATCCCCCGTGCACGTAAATGAATAAAGCCCCCTTTAGGTCCGTTAGAGGCCCAAGAACAGTGTGATGACGGGGAGGACGCCATTCCCCACGTAGGTGTCTACTCAAGTTTCAAAATCTGCGCGTTTCCCCCGGGCGCCTTGCCTGGGTTCCCGCGCGGGGCGCAAGGCTCGCGGGCGACCGGCTCCTTCTCCAGGGACGCCTGGGGGCCAGGCGGGCGGGCGTCTCCCGGGCCCTGCCCGCGGCCGCGGGTGGAGGGCGGGCGCGGAAAGGCCGCGGGCCGGGCGCGCGGTCCTACAGGCTGCAGGGGGCGCTGTGCGCACCCCGGGGCGCGGCCTCCCAGCACAGCTCTTTTTTAAAGGGCCAGCGAGGCACGTGGCTCCGGACACAGTTCGCGGCCGCCGCGCAGCAGCTCCGAGGCTGGGCAACTCCCGCTCGCAGCCGCCGCCGTCCGCTCCAGGCCCGACAGGTCGGCGAGGACCGCCGCCCAACCAGAACGCGGGTAGCCATGGCCGAAGCGGCGCCCTCCCGGGTAAGCGCCCCGCTCCGCCCAGCGCACAGGGCCGCCGCAGCCGCGTGGGCGCGCGAGGGTCTCGGCCCACCCGGCCGCGGAAGCGCCCGCTGTAGCCTCCGGCCCCCTGCCCCGGCCAGGCTCTCTGCCCGCGGCCCGCCTGGAGGCCGTGGAGGCAACCGGCCTGGAGGCCACCGAGCGGGCGGCCCAAACACCAGGCCTGGCGGGCGGGGCCCCGACGGCGGGCGACCGCGATCTGGGTCCTCCGCGGCCCCCGCCAGCCCGGGCGCTGGAATCCTGCCTGAAGACGACGACAGACCTTGCAGATGGACGCGGTTGCCGGTCCCCGTCGCTAGTTTCACTTGAGGCCCCAAGGGGCAGCAGGCAGGGAGGGCAGGGGCGCCCAGCCCTTGAGGCCACAGAGGCCCAAGGTCGCTCATCAGGTGGATATCGAGTACAGGGCGCAGGCCAGGACTTTGGTAGTTTTGTTTTGTTTTGTTTGCCGGTACTGGGGCACTGTGTCTTTTGGGGTTCCCTGAATGCAAGGGAGAGAAAGGGGCTGGAGATTCTGCAGGTTATGGCCCTGTTTGGGAGTGGGTTGGTAGGCTGGCAGGCCTTTAGTGCCTGGCCAGGTGACATGTCGGCCCTGTCTCCCCAGGGCCTGTTTCTTCTTACCTCCTGACTATTACTACCCATTGGCTCCTCCCTCTCTTGCAACACCTGAGATCCTAGAAAACCCCCAACAGAACAGATTGGCCCTCCTGTTAGCCTCACCTATTACATTATTGCTATGACTACAATTGTCCCTTGGTAGGCAGGTGTGGGGGTGCTCAGGTCCCTTACATAAGTAGCCTAGAAGTTGTATGTAACCTACACACATCCTTCTGAATACTTAGCTCAACACTAGATTACTTATAATCACTTAGTACTTAGAATTTAACAATGGAAATGCTATGTAAATAGTTGTGCTGTGTTCTGGGGAGAATAATGACAAGAAGGAAAAGTATGTACACATTCAATGCAGATAAATTTTTTTCTTTCCAAATATGTTTATGTAGGGTTGATTGAAATCTTGGATGTAACACCTGTGGATATGAAAGACCAAATACATTTCTACACTTTTCTTTTTTTTGGTGGTACTGGAGTTTGAACTCAAGGCCTTGTGCTTGTTAGGCAAGAACTCTACCACTTGAGCCATACCCTGCCCCCTTAAATGTATTTCTGTACAGATTTTTTTTTTCCTGGATGAAAGAGAATCACATTAATTTTGTCTGCATTCCTATTGTAGCTTTACGGTGGCGTTCAGTAACTTTTGTTGAATGACTGCATTGCTTAATCATTAAAAAAAATATAGCTATTGAGCATCTGCTGTGAGGCACTTTTTATTTTTATTTATTTATTTTTTTTGCAGTACTGGGATTTAACTCAGAGCCTACACCTTGAGCCACGCCACCAGTCCTTTTTCGTTTTGTGATGGGTTGTTTTGAGATAAGGTCTCTGTGAACAATTTGCCCAGGCTGGCTTCAAACCACAATCCTCCTGATATCTGCCTCCTGAGTAGCTAGGATTAGAGGTGTGAGGGACTTTTTAAAGCTGTGGATACAATGGCAAGTGACACATAACTTCAGAGGGGTTATGCTCATGTAGGTAAAACAAACCATAAAATAGGCAAAGTCATTCTAGATTAATAGTGCTCTGAAGGAAGGGACTGACGGGCCTGTGCTCCGTATGTCAGCCAGTGACAAGCTCTGTAAGGTGGTGTTCAGGCTGGAGCCTTACGTAAGACGGTACCCAGGTGTGTAGAGTTGCATGGTAGAGCCTGGCAAAGGTGGGGAGTAGATGCAGTCCAGGCAACCACTGGAGGCCATATGACTGGAGTGGCAAATAACAATTGAGGATGTGAGGTTGGCTGTAGCACGAAGAAGTTTAGATTTTATTGTAGCTACACTGGGGAGCTAGTTTGGGGATTTTTTTGGTGGTACTGGAGTGTGAGCTCAGGGTCTTATGCTTGCTAGGTAGGTCCTCTACCATTTGAGCCACTCTACCATTCCTGATTTATGTTGCATATTTTCGAGATAGGGTCTCTTGAACTTTCTGCTAGGGGCTGGCTTAGAACTTTGATCCTCTTGATCTTTGCCTCCCTGGTAGCTAGGATTACAGGTGTGGGCCACCAGCGCCCGGCTGCTTAGTTTATGTTTTAAAAGACTACTAAGTACCCTGTGGAAAGTATATCATGGGTGCAAAGGTTAGATGTGGAGAAATCAGTTAGGCAGAATTGCAGTGGCATTTCCCAGAAAAGTGGGTGGGTTTGAGATAACCTCAGAAGTCAAGTGGATAGACCTGATGTGATCCAACGACAAAGGAAGAGTTCAGTGAAGGGCTGAGATGTCACTTTCTCTTTCCAAGACTTGGAGCAACATGAACCAGCACTGGGGCATTGCACATCAGACACCCAGCTAAGCAACTGTATTTGGAAGCTTTTTTTTTTTTTTTTTTGTGTCACTGGAGTTTGAACTCAGAGCTTCACATTTGCTAGGCAGGTGTTCTTACCAGCTAGTCTGCCAACCCTTTTTTGTGATGGGTTTTTTTTGTTTGTTTGTTCGTTTTTTTACATAGGATCTCATGAACCGTTTGCTCAGGCTGGCTTCAAACTGCAATCTTCCTGATCTCTGCCTCCTGAGTAGCTAGGATTACAGGCGTGAGCCACTGGCACCTGGCTCAAAAGTTTTTTTCTAAGCCACTGAGAGATGATGGAATGAAAAAGGTAGAGGAAAAAAAGGCCCTATGACTATTTCTTATGGCATCCCCGTGCCAGAGCATGGTCACCATCCACATATCCACTCTCTTAGCTTGAGCTGCTGTAACAAAATATCACAGACTAATGGTGGAAACTACAGAAATTTAGTCCTCACACTTCTAGAGGCTTGGAAGTTCAAGATCAAAATTTTGCAGATCTGGCTCCTGGTGAGAGCACTCTTCCTGGTTTGCAGATGGCTGCCTTGTCAGTGCAGCCTCACATGGTGGAGAGAGATCATCCCTCTCGTGCCTCTTGTGAAGGGCTCTCAAATACCATCCCAGGCCTCTGGTGCTTTACAGGTGTGCACCACGCTCGGTCCCAAGGTGAACATTTTGATGGTATGATTGTGGTAATATTTCTTTTCTCTCTTGTGAGCAGGTTCCAGAAAGGGACAAGCAGATGAACAACGAGAGGCCTCCTACTCCTTCTTCTCCCCAGCCAGCCGCTGAGAAGAGTTCGTACCTCTACTCTTCAGAAATCACGCTGTGGACCGTGGTGGCTGCCATTCAGGCCTTGGAGAAGAAGGTGGATTCCTGTCTGACCCGAGTGCTGACTCTGGAGGGACGCACTGGGACAGCCGAGAAGAAGCTGGCTGACTGTGAGAAGACGGCCGTAGAGTTCGGCAATCAGCTGGAGGGCAAGTGGGCTGTGCTGGGGACTCTGCTGCAGGAGTATGGGTTGCTGCAGCGGCGGCTGGAGAATGTGGAGAACCTGCTGCGCAACAGAAACTTCTGGATCCTGCGGCTGCCTCCGGGCAGCAAGGGGGAGGTCCCCAAGGTAGCCTTTGGGTGCCCTGGGGTGGGGAGCCCATGGACTTGTAAGTGTGTGGGTGAGCGAGTGTGACACTTGTGGTTCCAGGTGCCCGTGACCTTTGATGATGTGGCCGTGTATTTTTCTGAGTGGGAGTGGGGCAAGCTGGAGGACTGGCAGAAGGAGCTGTACAAGCACGTGCTGAGGGGCAACTATGAGACGCTGGTCTCCCTGGGTAAGGCTGCCTAGAGAGTGTCTGGGCCTCCATCCGGCATTGGCTTCCTGCAGTCTGTGTTTCTTCTTTGCTGCTTTTGTTTGGGCAGCCCGGACGCAGCTCTTTTCCCATCCCCTCCCTGTTCTGTGTGTAGATTATGCCATCTCCAAACCCGACATCCTCACTCGGATAGAGAGGGGAGAGAAGCCTTGTCCTGAAGACCAGTGGGGCCAGGAGAAGGGGAGTGAGGAAGAGGCCACACATCCACCGAAGCTGGGCACTGGTGAGTGTGGGCAGTCAGAGAAGAGCAGCTGGGCCAAAGTGAACCACAGCCCCACCTTCCTGGGTGAGGACAATCTGGGACCTGGAAGCGAGCTCAGGCCCTTAACCCAGGGTGGGCTGTGCTCTGTCCAAGGCCACCATGGGCATGCCTGAAGGTGGACTTCTCCTTGGAGCCATATGGTTTCTGCATCTGTACGAGGGGCACAATTGCAAACAGATTTGTGAAGACTGAGGTGACAAACAGAGCACTGACTCAGTGGGTGTTTCATGCTTAGCAGGGCCAGTTGTGACTCATGGTGATGGTACAGCAGCATCTCTGCCATGTCCTGGTGCCTTCAGTGGTGTCTGTACCACCTGTTCCCAAGCTCAGCCTGCCACAGGAGGCCACCGCTGCACTGGTATCTCACTGTGGGATGGGCCTTTGGGAGACAGGGCTAGGGACCCGTTGCTTTCATACCTAGTGTTTGGGACAATGCAATCTAAAGGTGACTGCATATCAGAATCCTCTGGGGATTAATAAAATTTTAAAAAAGGAATGAAAGTAGTGAGAACAGAACAGTGATGCTCAGTGGTTGTCACTGAGACACAACAGCATCCAGATTTGGCCTCATTTGCTTCACCCATCTGCTTTTCTCCTGTTTCTAAACATATCACAATACCATCGTCACACCGTAGAAAATCATCTAATACCTGGTCCTTGTTCTCTTTTCAACTTTCTCAACAAGGTTTTCAATCACAGCTTGGATCCTGTCCTAATAACCCAAAGTTTACATACTGCATTTGAAGTCTATGAAAATCCCAGAAAAGTCCTCCCCCATTTTCAACAGCTTTGTTGAGATGTCATTTACATACTGCATGATTTACCTGTTGAAGTGCACAATTCCTCGTGCCTGTAATCCCAGCAATTCGGGAGGCTGAGGGGGGAGGATTGTGAGTGAAGGCTAGCCTGAGCACCATAGTAAGAGCCTGTCTCAAAAAATAAAATAAAGTTGATATGATGGTCTCCACCTACAGTCCCAGCACTGAGGAGGCAGAGGATGGAGGGTCATGAATTTGAGGCCAGCCTGGGATATGTAGAATGACCCTGCTTTGAAAAAAACCTTTTCCAATTCAGTGGTTTTTAGTATAGTCGCAGAGTTGTGAAACCATCATCACAATCTAATTTTAGGATCTTTGTGTCCCATCAAAAGAAACCCAGTACTGGAGATGGGGGCAAAGCTTAAGTGGTAGAGTGCCTACCTAGCAGGTGTGAGGCCCTGAGCTCAAATTCTAGTACTGCCAAAAAACAAAACAAAACCCACGATCTGTACCCATCAGCAGCTGTTCCCTGTTTCCCTGCCCTAGCGTCCAGTAATGTGCTGGCGTGTAGCGACATCACACCCTTCATCCGTTTGTCAGTGGATGGAAGCCCCCTTCAATGCTGTTAGTTTTTTGGCTTTTTTTTTGTTGTGCAGTACTGGAGTTTGAATTTAGGGCATACACCTTGAGCCACTTCACCAGTTCTTTTTTATGAAGGGTTTTTTTTTTTTTTTCTCTCGAAATAAGGTCTCAAGGATTATTTGCCTGGGCTGGCTCCAAACTGCGCTCCTCCTTGATCTCTGCCTCCTGAGTAGGGATGACAGGCGTGAGCCACCAGCACCCGGCTTGTTGACATTCTAATGTCGTGTATCTTACGCTTTATTTTTTTCCAGTACTGGGGCTTTGAACTTGGCCACTTGAGCCAAACCTTTGTGGTACTGGGGCTTGAACTCCGTACCCTCTACTGGATAGACAAATGTTCTACCACTTGAACCATGCCCCAGCCCTTTTCGCTTTAGTTTTTTTTTCAGATGGGGTCTTGCACTTTTTGCCTGGACTGGCCTTGGCCCTTATTCTTATAAGGCTAGGCTTATACATAAGCACCATCATGCCTGAATTGCTTGTTGAGATGGGGTCTTGCCAACTTTTGCCTGGGCTGGCCTCAAACTGAGATCTTCCCAATCTCCACCTCCCATGCACCTGCATTACAGGCTCACACAGATGTGAACCATCTTGACTGGCCCTATCTTGTGTCTTTCTAATGCCATTATTTCCCAGCTTTTGGATTTGGTGCCATTTAACATGTTCTCCTATTTCCTGCTTTTCCTACAGCTGGAGTTACACGTAGAGGCGTGTGTAGACTACAGGTTCCATGGCCTTGGCAGGGCTCTTCAGAGGTGGTACTATCTTGTTCCCTTCTAATTCTCAACAGCAGGCACAGAAGGTCTGGCAAGCTTTCTTTTTGTGACTGTCAGCCTGATCTTTCCACATCAGCTTCTCATCAGTGATTGTAGCCACTGAAGATTGTTGCCTCGATTTGGTAATACATTGAAGGTTGCAAAACGGTAAAATTCTGCCATTATTTTTGCATTTAAAAGGTGAAATTCTTTTACAAAGAATAGTTTCTCTCACCAATCCAGTTACCCCGAACTGTGATACAGAAAAGGCAAAGTAGCTGCCCAATTCTTTCCTTCATCAGTTTTTTTATTATTACTAATTGTTTTGGTGGAACTGGGGTTTGAACTCAGAGCCTCATGCTTGCTAGGTAGATGTTATACCACTTGAGCCACTCCGCCAGTCTTTTTTTGTGATGGGTATTTTCGAGATAGGGTCTCTCCACTGGCGCCGAGGACTTCACAGATTGTTAAATATTTTATATCAGCTAGTCCTTTGCCATCATTATTTCATGCTTAAATTGGTGACATCTTTGGTCAGTGGGAAACTCTTCAGCCTGGTTCACAGGTCATTTTAATGTGACATGATGGCATTCTGACATAAGATGTTGGGCTCATCTTCTGTATTTCCTGCCCCAGATCTGGAATAAAAAATTCTCAATGGAGCCAGGCACCAGGAGGTGACACATACCTGTAATCCTAGCTACTTGGGAGGTTCATGGTTGGGATCAGGAGGATCATGGTTCTAGGCCAACCCAGGCAAAAAGTTGGTGAGACTCCATCTCAACAGAAAAAGCATAGTGACACATATCCATCAGCCTGCTATTATGGGAAGCATAAAGAGGAGGCTCACAGTCCAGTCTAGACCAGACAAAAAGCGAGACCCTATCTCAGAAATAACCAGAATTGGGCTGGAAACACCACGAATTTGCAGTGCTTCCTTGGCTCTGGGACTGCTGCTTTCTCCATACTGTCAGTGTCCCAGGATTGGGCTCTCCCTTCCATTGTTAAAAAAGATTGCTTTTGATCCTTGGCTCTTGAATGGTCAGGATCTAGCCCTCTGTTTTTCTCACTCCTACTTATTGTGCTCAGGGTCACTGTCTTGTGATGCTTTGGATGGTTTAGTGGAATGAATACTGCTTCTGCTTGTTCTAGGAAGGATCCTTAGGTAAGATTTTTGAAGACGGTATATTAACATTTTTAGGATCTGCTGATGAAGTGGGCTATCTTTAGGTTTATCATAGAAGTAACATTTTTAGGGTCTGGTGATAGGTCTGCAAATAGTGCTTGTGGAACAACATGACCCAGTGGTGTCCCTCATTGCTCTCTTGTACGTGAAGGAGCATCAGTGGGAGCACTATCAGTTATCGATACAGCCTGATTATTGTTTTTCACCTCTGATAAGGCTGTAGTTTGGTTACCAGTTGGTTACCCTTGGAAGAGAAGCGCCTGTTGAGGCTGAGCAGATAGCCCGCTCAGATAGCTTTTATGTCTCTGACACATTCTTGTCCTCTGGACTCTGCATTTTGGAAAAGGCCGGTGTGGTCAATTCAACCTCATTGAAGCCACTTTCTTCAGCGAGTCGGCTTTCTTGTCTGAACATTTATGCTGCTTGATTTCAGACTGCTCTCAGCATGTCACATTGATGATGAGACCCTTCAGCTGATTTCATATCGCGTGACAGATTCCATCAGCTCTTTTACCATTGACCTTTTGCTTATAATGCATGTCTTTCTCAGGTCTTGTGGAGGGAGCACATGTGCTCATTTTGGGGTTTTACTGCTTGGAAACTGTTGACAACTGGGTTGTCACCCAGCCCAGAGAAGACCTTTTGTGTGAAGTCAGGGCTATGAGGAAGAAAGGCATAGGGCGAAGAGTTGCCCTAAAAGAGAATACTTGATGTTTGGAAACATTGAAGCTACCAAGGCCATCTCTTCAGTATGTCTTTTCTGCTGTGCCATTGGGAAGCCTGCAGCCACCCTGTTTCACTGTTTCTCCTCTGTTGTTGTGCCCTTCTGAGTCCTCTCTGGGGACTTGCTGAGGCTGAGCTATGCAGTCCTTCTCTAGGGTTTGGGGGCCTTAGATGATAATCTAGCTTCTGGATGATGGGAAAAGCCACCGCATCACCACATTCTGTCTTTGGTCTAATGTCCCAGGACCTCAGGGACATTAATCACTCCCCAGCGTCACCGGCCATCTGGCTGGGACCTCACTGTTGAGCTCAGTGTCACTGGTTTGTATTCCCCAGGCCTCCCTCCACATCCAGAGCGGATCCCTAGCCCAGTCAGGCCTCCTGAGGAGGAGCCAAAAGAAGATCAAGCCCCTGAGCTGCAGCAAGATGAAGGAACAAGAGTGACTCCACCTGTGCCAGACACCAGTGAGTGAGAATGGCTGGGACAGTAGCATGAATGTGCTCCATGCCAGTGCACAGGCAACAAACATGGCACTGGAACCTACGCTAGGATTGTGTGGGTGGGAAAGGTTGCTGGGGATGTAGTTGGGCAGAGGCCCCTGAGATAGGCCTCAAAGAAGGTAGGTTTTGGCATTTACAGGAAGGGCATTAGAGCTTCAAGGGGCCTGGTATACCTGCCTGGCTGGAGTGACGGGAGGGTGCAGATTGGGTCTTCTGGGGTTGTGGTCATATTAACATGGCAGTTATGTTCCATTCCTAGCTGGAGCTGCCAGCAGTGTCTCAGTACCCTTTCTGAAGACCTGTTGGCATCTCTGGCTTCAGTCACCTCTGCAGAGCTCCCGGTCTGCTTCTGTTCACAGGCCGTTCCTGCCTTCTCTGACACTGTAACTCAGAGGGCACTGACCATGGCACATGGCCATGATCCCAGAGCTCGGTGTCTCTTTCCATGCACACTGGGCTGGTCCAGTTCCTACTGCCCCTATTCTTCCCTTTTGTTGCTGGCCTGACTTCTAGTCCCTGCTGCCTTCTCCCCAGTAGTTTCTGTGCCTCTCCCCCACTGAAATATGACCTCCCACAGGTGGAGGTGACAGCCGTCCCTTCCCTGTGCTCCTCCTTCCTGGACAGTGTATAAGTTTGGTCTCTGCTCATGGAGTTGGAGAGGTGGGACCTTCTCAGGTAAGAGGACAGTGTCCCTGCCTATCATAGACCTGGAAGTCTGTCCCTGGGCCTCTCTAAACCTTCTTTCCTTTTGAGGTCTGTCATGGTGACAGTCAGATGCAGAGGCACAAGTTGTGAACCCAGGCCTGCATGGGAGTTGGGGGGGTAACCTTCATAGCTGTCTTCTCACCTCAAGCCCTCCAGATGGAAGCTTGAGGGTCCCCTCTTCCTGGCAGGCTCTTGGGCACATCTAGAGCTTGCTGGAGAGATGGCTATACCCCCTATAGGAGTCCCATGTCTGAAAAGACCCTCATGGGATGTTCCCTCTCACAGGACCTCCAGCAAGCACCAGTGTTTTGTCCTCAATTAAACAGGAGGGAGAATCTTCAGGGGCTGAGTCACGAACCTCACCTCCCAAGGACATCGTGCCTAGTGTGGGGTCAGGTGAGTGAGGGGAAGAGGTACCTGTGGCTGTGGCAGAGCCTCATGGTAGCTTGGAGGCACTTTTGGGAGTGGGAGTGGCCTTGTGGGGGGACCTGGTGAGGGGCTTCCTCCTGAGGCTTCCCTCCCATCCCAGGTATGTGCATGGGGGCTGTAGGGCCTAGGTCGGCCTGTGGCTCTGGTCTTCCCTATAGCAGTCTGGCTTGGCTGGAAAGGTGCTGCTCAACAGAAAGGCCATTTTTGTGGTCTGCCTCCAGCCTCACAGCAGCGCTGAGAGGAGGCCCAGGCTCACAGCCTCTGGTGTCTTGCACTTTACATGTTTTCGCTTAAAATTTAAGTGTAAGTCCCTCTGCCTGGAGTATGCTTTTTGATAGGGCTTATTGGCAGGACAATTGCTTCGTCCACTAGGGACTCATGAGAGCCTTCTGCTGAGACCTCACGTCTCGGGTCTTGGTACACTTCTGCGACCATTGTCGCTGCCTCTGCCTGTACTTTTCACAACTCTGACTTGGCATGTCCTCTGCCTCAGTCACACCCGAGAATCAGGTGAGACACACTGACACCCAGCAGGAATCACAGGCAGCCCAGTGTCTTCTCTCTATCACCAGAGTATAGTGTGAGCAAGTGGGGGCATTCAGATGGACTTGTTTGAGTGACTTGGAGCTCAGTAAGTCATTTACTTTCTCCAGGCCTCAGAGGCCTCTTAACCATAGTTCAGAGGCAGCCAAGGTCCGTATGCGTCTTGTCCTTCTCAGATTGTAATTCCTGTTATTACACCTCTTGGTGTCCTACCACCACCTCTGCCATGACTGGGGTGTCTCACTGCCCAGGGTCTCTGCCTCTTGTGTTTCGCCTCCATCTTCCCACCCATCTGTCTTCCACCAGACTGACCCCCAATCCCGCAGGCTCATTGACCCCTGGCCTTGCAGCTTCCTGTCCTCTCCCCTGTGTTTTTAGCTTGGCCTCCAGGAATGAGGCCTAAGACCGCAAACAAGGCTGAATGACAGGATGAGGCAGTGTCTGCCTGATGATGCCTGTGAGCAGGACCCTGCTCTGCTCTGGGTACACAAAGGAGAAAGGATTCATGAGAGGTAGGAACAGGTCAAGCCTAGAAGCAAGACCTGGGTTGAGTAAAGCAAGACACTGGTTGAGCTGGTGGTCTAGTTGGAACCAACGTAGATTCCTTTGCCAGGTGGTGCTGGTGTGGCCATCAAGATAGAAGCTCAATCTGAGGACGAGATGGTGCCCGAGCAGCTCTTCATGGGGTCCCCAAGCCGGCCCAAGTGTAGAATCTCCAAAGGTCCCAGAAGCAGGACTAGAGGCCCCCGGCAGCATCATGCCCAGGGAGTGCCAAGGGTGCCTGTGGGGGAGTCCCAGGCAGCAGGGGCTAGAGGAGAGCCCCCTCGGGTCCTCCCTCGCCGGCGGGAGCGGGCTTTCTTCTGCTCTGATTGTGGGCAGAGCTTCCGCTTGAAGATTAACCTGACCATCCACCAGCGGACCCATGTGGAAGAGGAACCCAGAGAGGCGTGTGGTGGCTCATCCACTAGCTGGGAGGAAGGCCACTCCACTCTGGAGCCAGGGGAGGTGGTGGTGCCTGGTCCTGTCATCCGCTGGCTACCTGAGGAGCCCATGGGCCATCGTCGCTCCTTGGCAGGCCGATCTTTCATGGGGCAGAGGCCAGCAGCCACCAAGGTATACCACTGCAGCGAGTGCCTGCGTTTCTTCCAACAGCGGAAGAGTCTGCTTTTGCACCAGCGCCAGCACACAGGCCACAGCCAGGGCTGGCCCTCCTGTCCCTACTGTGGCAAGGCGTTCCGCCGGCCCTCAGACCTCTTCAGGCATCAGCGCATCCACACTGGCGAGCGGCCCTATCAGTGCCCCCAGTGTGGCCGGGCCTTCAACCGGAACCACCACCTGGCTGTCCACATGCAGACCCACACCCGAGGCCAGGCAGGCCTGCACTTCCTTGTGCCCACCACCCGCCAGGGGAGCTCACCTCTGCAGGGCACCAGCCATGAGGAGGGCTGACCAGGCAGTTGCTTTCAGGCACCCTCTGGCTCCTGGGTACCCTGGCAGGACCTGCACTCTCTCTTGTGGCTTTTCCCTCACCTGATGGCGGTTCATCATTCTAGGATGGCTTTGCAGAGTCTTTTTTCATTCAAATCAGAAGCAACAACCATTTTGGTGACAGTGTATGTGTGTGACAAGGTGCCTCCGTTTTGCAGTTCCTGTTTGTCACTCTGTCCCCTTTTCCATGTTCCTGACTTGTAAAGGATTCATTAGGACTGAAAGGGGTGACAGTTTTTTGGAGCCTTTGGTTGGCACCACAGTCAGGAGGTCCAGACATTGTGACCCTTCCAGGATGGGGCTGTAGAACCCTCAGGGACTGGGATTAACTGCACAAGGATCTGTCTGTAGTCCATGTGAGAAATGGCACAGTGGACAGACAGATGAGGGAAGGCACTGGAAATTTGTATTTTCTACTTTGCTACTTTGAGACTTTTCCCCTTAGTATGAAGTTTTTCTAGTGCTTTTGTAAGTATTGTGTGTAATTGCAAAGGGGACCAGGAGCTCCTGAGGGACAGGAACTTTCTGCCATCTCCTGTGGGGCTGACAGGGTAGGAAGTGGAGCTCAGTCTAGACCCAGTGTGGGCTTTGATGGAGAGGCCTTGATTGCTGGAAACAGTCTCCCCAGGCATTCCTGGCCTATTGGCTCCCAGTCTTCCTAGTTCTTCCCCCGTGGGGGCATTTACTTCTATTTACTGTTTACTTCTGCTATCAGTTGAGAGGGGAAAGGAAACCAGGAGTGAATGACCTTCCTCCAAGGTCTCAGGGTTCGTGAGTATGAGTGACCCACTGACTGGACCCCTGAAGATGCCTTGAGGAGGATGCAGAGTGAGCCCAGGAAGACCCTCCCTAAGACTAAGATCTGGGTCCAAGGGAGACTGGTCAGCCCACCTGGACTCTGGGGCCAAGTTGCACTAAAAGGTCTGGGTGAGTCCTCAGACACCTCCATCATACTCCTTGTCCATCAGAGGACAGCCCCAGTGAGTCCCATCTCAGAGTTTATGTCAAGTTTAGAGGCACTGGGCAGATAAGAAGCCTGGTTTTGTCCTTCCTTTCAAGTTCAGAACCTCCTTTCTCTTCCATGTTCATCCCTTTTCCCCCAGGCAGAATCCCCTCAGAAAGGACCTTTCTTTTCTGGAGAGTGGAGGTTCCACCAGGCTCAGTGAGGTCAGACTTATCCACTGGGCTGGTGCTCAGAGGCTCTTTTACCAAAGCACAGTAAATTGAGGACGTTAAGGCAATAGTGTCACCCTCATGGAGAAGTCTTGAGAATGGCTGGTTTCTTGTGCCTCCTAGTCACTCTACCTTGGGTACTGTCTACAGACCTGCTGGGCGTGGGTGCTTCTGAAGCTGGGGCTGTGAGCCCCCAGCTCTCCTGATAGTTTACTGTCTTATCTGGCACTGTGGCACCAGAGCAGCATTCAGACTTGTTCCTAGGTATCCAGGTCTGTGGCCGTGCCACTTCCTGTTGCCCTTCTGACCCTTGCCTCTTTCCCAAAGTCCTGAGCAGAGTTGGGGTCAGATGGTAACATTGCCATCATCCCTGTGATGACAGTAAGTATGCAAGTCTGTGACGGTTCAGGTTTGCTCCTAGAGAGGCACCGCCCTTCTGGGCTGTGGATCATGCTTGTCTGCTCCTCAGGCCCTTGTCTTGAAGCCCCCACAAGTCAGGGCTGTCAGCAAGCGCTCAGGTGGGACGTGGCTCAAATGTAACTGCTCAGAGCTTAGCCTTCAGCTTCAAGACCTAATCTCAGGTGTTCTGGAGGTGCCTCAGGGCTAAGAGTTTTGCTCCGTTCCTACACCTGCTTCTCTAGTAGTCAGCCCCCTCTAAGGTACCCTTAAGCACAAGGCTCAGGTCCCTTTTCTTTTTTTTCAAAGCATGCAACGTGCCCAGCTCTGGGCTAGACTTACTGAGTTTGCCTGGTGTTCAGTGTGATGCGCTTAAAGAACTCTGTAAGTCGAAATCAATCAACGGAGGCTGCATAGTACAGGAACCCAGGTGCTCCACATCTGGAGATGGGAGTCCTGGTTGGGTGCCATTCTCTCCCAGCTTTGTGCCTCTTCTTCCTCACATAATACGAAGAAATGGTTGGGCCCTGACGCTGAGGACCTTTATGAACTGTGAAGATGGCAATGTCTTGCCATAATTGGTGCTCAATAAACATGTTGGTATAGTTGACTGCGTGCAAGTGGTCCGGTTCCTGCTTTCTAGGAGGTGACAGCTTGCACTGAGCAGTCACAGCTGACAATGCCAGTGAGTTGCTTGGCATGAGCCATGGCTCGGAGTCCGCCAGTAAGGGCAGCCCTGACACCTGGCGCACGCCCTGGGGGCGGGGCTTCCAGACGCGGCCAATGGCAGCTGGCTCCGGATTGCAGGAGCCTACCGAGCGCAGGGTAGGGGCGGGGTTTCTAGGCTGGCCAATAGGGAGCCGGTTCCAGGAAAGGGCAGAACCCAGCCTACAAAGCGGGCCTGCGTTCGCACGGCCCGCACGCCGCGCTGCAGCTCCGAAGTCCCCATCCGAACTGCGACTCCGCGCGTCCAGCGCGTGTAGATGCAGTGCCTGACGACCGTGCGAGACCCAGGAGCGCCTGGACTGGAGGGCCACCCCGGAGTCACCTGCAAGTACCCGGCAGCTGGGCCTACGTGGGGCTGCCTGCGCACCCCGACTCCTGGGACCAGGAGGGACTGGGCTGAGCCATGGCCGAGGCGGCCACCGCGCCGGTAAGGGCATCCCACACGTAAGACGTGGGCACGTGGAGCTGAGTCCCAAATTCGCCGGGAGGATGTTCTACGCCCGGCCTGCGGCCACCTGAAGTTGGGGAGCGCTCAGCCTGGGTGGGAGGAGGACAGTTCGCCTAGGGCCGCACGATAAAGCCCTCCCTTGCCCCGTTTCCTCGTCTGTAGAACAGGTTATTGAACCATGAGATCCCGAGGGCCGGCCCTGTGGGTCTGGGTGTGTGGGAACGGACAGTGAACGACTTCATTCCGGAGACTCCAAGGCTCCTCTTCCTGGACCTGACCTTTGGCACCCCCTCCCCTAACACACGTACAATCAATCATGTCAGACGGCCCGGCCACTCCATTCTCATCCCCCTTGCCAAGCCAAGACTGGTGCAGGGTCTGGGGAGGGTGCACTTCCTCCAGTCCGCCGGGGAACCGGGGTCTCGCTCCTTGGAGGGTCCCTTGAAGGTCTCCCAGACCTGAGCTCTGATTCGAGTCCGGAAGGATTCCTGTGCCTGCTGGCTGTTTTCCAGAATTCCTCAGGAAGTCCTTCCTACTGCTGCTGAGAGAGGGTCTGCGTTACTGAGTACTCAGGCTCAGGTTTAACCCACTCCCTCCCTGGCTGGTGTGGCTGGGCTGTTGAGATTTTCTCTTTGGAGGTAGAGGGCACCTTGTGGTAGCAATAGCTTTACAGTGGTTTTAGAGGCATTCCTGGATGTCAGATTCATGGCAGGGAGGTAAGAATGTGAAGACTAGCTCTTTCCTCCCAGCTACACTTCATTGCATCGTGCTGTAAGAGGAGGATGAAAGTGACAGCTTCTGGTGACTAGTACCTAGTATGTGTGGGGCACTTTGCTGAGTCCTTTTTTGGGAGAGGTATTGGGAAAACTTAGCTGCACAAAATTAATCACAGTCTTTGGTTTGTAATACATTCTGGTCATTGGTTCATGGACTTTATATTTGTTTTATATTTATACACGTGGTAGTGTTGATCATACTCTGAGTGCTTTTCCGTGGCTTTAATACATTTTATCCACACCATCACCTTAGGAGGTAGGGAAACCATGATATCCTCATAAGGGAAAGCCGAACCTTAAGAGGAGCAGTGTGGCTTTACCTCAAGCTGCACAGGAATCAAATGGCAGGATTGGTGTTGAGTCCATTCCAGGAATATTCCCATTATATCTCAGCTATCCCCCACTGAGGCATTCCTGAACTCTTCATTTTATCATTTCTAGTAATGCACTGTACATTGTCCACCTCCTGTAGGCAAGGTCTTATTTGGAATATTCCTTGTTCTGACTTCTCTAAGGTGATGGCTTTCAGCTTTCTCTGGCCTCTGCTTCCTGGCAGCTAGGCTCTGACTTCCCAGGGGAATGTTTGATAAGGCACCTGGCTAGTTGGGACCTGGTATCTCATACAGGTCAGGAAGTCACACACTAATAGATGACAAGTGGAAGGGCCTTAGAGATCAGCAAACAGAAAACCCAGGTCTTACCCACATCCGAGCCCAATACTGGGGTGTGGTGCCGGGATCGCAGAGGTCCTTGACCCGAAAGGGCTCAAGAAAGGAATAAACAAGACAGGACATACGAAAGGACTCACTTACTCAGGACGGGAATGACAAAACACATATCAAGATTACCACCTGGTAAAATTTTATTTTTCTCAGCAAGCTTTATACAAACGAGGAAGAGACTTAAACATCAAAACACTCTGACCTAGTTATAACCTTTCTGTTTTTGCCATCCTGTATTTTTACTGCCAGTGTCCTTGACTAAGTATAAACTTCTTTTCAGTCAAAAAACCATTTAGCATTCCTTCCCACTGTGATAGAGACATGGTGCACCTGCAGAGTCCAACCTTGTCGGAATGCTGCTAAGCCACAGTGACCTTGTCAGACTGTGGCTTTTGGTTCCCAGTAGTTCGGGGTGCTCTAGAAGAAGGTGTGGGCTCAGATTACTACCTAGGTATGTACTGGACCCCTGGCAGGTTTTCTGGATACAGATTTCTCACTCCATGACTCCTGCTGCTGGGCAGTATTGCCAGAGGAAGAAAAGGTAGTTAAAAGCTGGCTAAACTAATATAGGTAGAAGATTGGAATTCAGATCCATTACACTTTCCATCCATTTATGGTGGTCATGTTTGCTATTGCCTTTTTCCATTGCCCTGGGTCTTTTTTTATATACTGGGGTTTGAATTCAGCTCTTGAGCCACACCTCCAACCATACCCTGGGTTTTGGTACAAGATTCTTCCCCTGAAGGCTCTATGGAGTCTAGTGTTTGTTGTTTTTGTCTGTCAGTTGGGGTCTCATGTGGTGGGGGGTCTGGCATCTGGAAAGAGTCTCCCCCATTTGAGAGTACCCTGACTTTCCTGTATGTGGGAATGGCTCCGGGCCCTCTCCTGGTGGCTGACTCATCTCCTTGTGTCTGGTCACAGGGCTGGCATGTAGGGACTCCCCTCCAACAAGAGGCCCAGATCCAATCCACAGAGAGCTCTCTTCTGGCCATCCTGGCTGCTGTTCAGGCTGTGGAGAAGAAGATGGAGTCTCAAGCTGTCCATCTTCAGAGCCTGGAGGTACGAACAGGGACAGCTGAGAAGAAGCTGGCTGACTGTGAGAAGAGGGCCGTGGAGCTCAGCAATCAGCTGGAGGGCAAGTGGGCCGTGCTGGGGACTCTGCTGCAGGAGTACGGGCTGCTGCAGCGGCGGCTGGAGAATGTGGAGAACCTGCTGCGCAACAGAAACTCTTCAGTATTGTGGCTGCCACCGGGCAGCAAGGGGGAGGTCCCCAAGGTACTGAACTGACTGTGTAGGGTCTTCATAGGCAGAGTTGTGGGAGACCATTTTGCTGCTGAAGCCTGACCTCTTGGCACCTAATGCTAGTTGCCAGTGGACTTTAAGGAGCTTAAAAATGTCAAAAGGAAAGTGTGGCAGGTGGAGTGGGGTTGTTGGGAGGGAAATGGTTGTGCAGCAGCAGTTGTACATCTTATTCTAGAATGATCTTTGAGAGAGGATTGCCTCAGGCAGGGGAAATCACACAGCCCACACGTAGAACAGAAGATACATGTGCCTAGGAGAGGGAAGGAGACCCCAAGAGCCTTGGCCCTCAGTCCCCTAGCCACTGGCTCTGTCCTTTATCTGAAGTACACATGTTGGAGAGGAACTGGCATTTGCCCAGTGGTTAGGCCGGTGATGCCCTTTGGTTTGGGGGAGGGGAGAGGAGACTAGAGTTGGTTCTGGTGGGTCTGTGAAGTGGTAGCAACTCACTGGAGGTATGGGGGATCTGTTCTTCCAGGTTCCCATGAGCACTGAAGAGGTAGCCCGGTGTTTCTCAGAGCAGCAGGAGGGCAGCTTGGGAGACTGGCAGAAGGAGCTCTGCAAGCAGATCCCAAAGGGGAGCCAGGAGACACTGGGCTCCCTGGGTAAGAAGATGCCAGCCCCACGGACTTCCAACCTTAGTTTCATTCATTCTTTTTTTTTTTCTTTTGGTAGTACTGGGGTTTGAACTCAGGGCCTCACACTTGCTAGGCAGGCAGTCTACCATTTGAGCCATTCTGCCAGCCCTCATTCTTTTATTCAGGCTGTTGAGACTGGATCTGAGAGCCGAAAGCACATTGAGATTGGTCTCTGTATTCAGGCAGATAGAAGGTATCTTTAATTTCCATTTTTAGGCCTTATACAGTAAAATGCAGAGAAGTTAAGAGGCTTATACAAGGCCTCATGAGACTAAACACAGATTGGAATCGTCTGCTCCCTGTCCATTCCTTCACACCTCATAGGCTTCCCTGTATGTTTGTATCTCTGGAACTCCCTGAGCTGGGCTTTCCACACTGGGGATTCTCAGACATCTACTGAGAGGCGGGGCATACTGTGTCCTAGGTCCAAAAAATGAGGGCTGGCCCTACATGCTATGCGCAGGCACGCATTTGTGTGAGACTTGCTGAGGCCTAGATGCTTGTAGCTCTGTCCATTCCCGGACCATCCTGCTTGCACCCTGGAATTCTCTCACTGCTTTGGGCAGGTTGAGCAGTTGGCTCTTTGTCCACCCTTTGACTTTCTCAGGGTACTGAGCCCCAGCAAAGCACCTTCCTTCCCTTTCCTGGCACATGGGTTTGTCTGAGAAGGAGGTGTCAGCATGCTACACAGATGCTGGGTAAGGGAGGGTGCTTGGCTGAGAGGCAGGAGTGAGCTCAAGGAAGGAAGCACAGCAGGAGGTCTAAGAGCTGTGATATATAACTGACTTGCCTTGTTGGGCCTCAGTTTCCCTCAGTGTCACATGAGATGGCTTAACTAGGTGACTTTGGGCTCCTCCTGTCTGTAAGGGTGGCACGGTGGAAGCCATTCCTCTTGTCCTTTTCAGTCACATTGCTGCCTGGGAGGCCTTGCCTTGCTGCACATTGTGTCCCCTTCCTGCATGTCCCCTGGGTCACTATTGTGGCCTGGCACCGCTCTGCGACCTGTGAAGGGCCAAGAGTGGGGCAGATACTCAGGAAGGCAAGATTGAGGAGGCTGTTGAAGCACATGCAGGACCCTGAGAGGAGGATCCCACTGCCACGGTGGGAAGAGTGGGGCTCTTCTTCAAGACCTCTGATGTCATGGTCCTCAGCCTGGCTCTCCCAGCTCCTCACCCTGAAACCCGATTCCTGCTTCGTTTAGGCTCTGCTCTCTTCAGGGAAGGATCTGAGCCTTACTATAATGCTTTCCTTCCAGCACCAAGCACAGTGCCTGGCACACACTGGGATAATAAGTGATGAATACATAGTAAATGAACAGCAAGCTAGAATGGGAGCTCAGATTTTGTTATTTTTCAGATAATAGCATTGGATCAGAAAGCAGATTTCAAAGTTTTTTTTTTTTAAGTGAGAAACCCTTTATTCAAATGATAGCTAGAAACAGAACAGGGGAAATTCAGGGGACTGCTCTGGTTGAATCAGGATGGGAGCTCTGTTTGCTCAGAACACAAAGAATCAGCCAAGACACCATTTTTTGCTGTTAGATTCTTAACATTTTATTTGGGGAGAAAGGCTCTCTTTTGAAACACGCTTATTGAGTAGGTAAATGAAGTCACAGGGAGTACAGACCAAGGAAGAATGTGGGTGATGACAAGGTACCAAGTAGCCAGCTTGTTGGACTAACACTAGAAGTGTTTGAGCCCCTGCTATGGCCTGGGCTACCACAGAGTTCAGAGTGGCAGGTTGCAGGAAGCAACCCAGTGTGCTGGGGAGGTGCTGGGGATGGTGAGTGAGGACTGGGCAAGCAGTGGCTCTTGTGGTTTCCCAGAGGACACCACTGCAGGGGCTGAGTAGGGCCCTCTCCTGTGGTGCAGGGGGTGGAGCTGGAGCCTCATGGTAGGCATGGGCAGTAACAGAGCTTATTCAAGACTGTGCTGCTCCCAGACAGACGCAGAGTAGGCTGGGCCTGGCTGATGTGCCCCTGTAGGTGCCCGCAGCTCTCCTGTGCAGCTGGGGCATGCTCTGGAATGAGGTGTTCTCAGGGAACTTGGAGGCTGCCTGGGCTCTGTCTTAGCAGTTACTGTCTTGTACTCTACTCTCTATTAATTTTCCATCTTTATCCAGACAGCACAGATTCTTCCCTCACCCCAGGCCCAAGCCTTGCTTCTAGGAGCTGCCTCCACACATTCTGCCACAAACCAGCAGACCCAGACTGTGTGGGTGCAAGCCTGCTTTATTTACTAGAAGTTTCCACAGACAGCCTTCTCCTGCCAGAAATCTGGGAGAGATGTGAATGGGTTCCTTAGGTAGTTGGATGTCATGACACTGACCAGCCTCTAATCCTGGGGAAAAAAGTCAAAACCTATGTTTGATTATACAAATGCACTCATATACAAATGCATTCTTGTTAAGCAATGCAGAAGTAAAAGGGCTCTCTCAACTGGTCACCTGCCCCCAGTCTAGCCCCTTCCAGCCTAGCCACATGTGCATTTTGGCAGTGACCTTTTAGGCTTTTTTTCTTTCTCATACATTTGTGTACCTGCATGTACTATAGAAAAATACAGGGTTTTAAAAAATTTTATTTTTTTTCCATTTACTCACATGTGAAAAATATAGGATTTAAACCACAAATATACTGTGAATATTCTGCAGCTTGCTGTTTTCACTCAACAGTGTGTCTTAAGGATCTTTTCATGTTGGTATGTTTGTATTGACTGCTTTCTTTAAGCTTGGTTTTCAGGGCTCTGGTTAATCATGGAGCCTGGTATGTGACAGGCAGACACGTATGGCTGGGCCAGCGTCTTCTCAGCATGATGGGTTAGAGGTGCCTCAGGTACAGCAGAAAGGGACATGTGTGCCCCTCTATTCCTAGGTCAGAACCTCACACAGTGTTATGCGACATGAACAATGGTTAAACAATGGTGGCTTGGAAACTTCTCTTCCCTCCCTCCTTTCTTTCCTTCCTCTCATCCTCTCCCACCCCTTCTCTCCTCCCTCCGTTCCTTCCTACCTACAAAAGGTCTCCCTATTCTGAGTCAAGTCCAAGGCAGGAAGGAGGAACAGTTATTCCATTCTTAGGGGGGGGCCTTAGAGGGATTGGTGGCATAGTTCAAGGGTAGAGTGTCTGCCTAGCAAGCTAGATGCCCCGAGTTCAAAACCCAGCACCACCAAAAAAAAAAAAAAAAGAGTGAGTGAGTGGCTGGCTTCTACTCATGGGTCCTGTGTTGTATAGGCTTCTGAAACAGACTGAATAAAACCAAATCCAAACAATAGGACAGCAGTTTAAACAAGATAATGGTGGGAGCTGGGTGTTGGTGGCTTATGCCTCTAATCCTAGCTACTTAGGAGGCAGAGATCAGGAGGATTGTGGTTCATAGCCATCCCAGGCAAATAGCTTGTGAGACCCTATCTTTAAAATACTTAGTATAAATAAAGGCTGGTAGAGTGGCTCAAGTTGCAAAGTGCCTGCCTAGCAAATGTGAGGCCCTGAATTCAAGCCCCAGTAACACCAAAAAAAATAAAAATAAAAATTTTATATATATATATATATATATATGTATGTATATATATACATATATATATAAAATGGTTTGTTTCTCCCTCTTTACAGGGCTTATTTGGTAGCTCAGGGTGTTACAGGCTCTGTATTGCTCCGCCTTTCCAGAGCGTAGCCTTGTCACTGAAGTTCAGGATGGCTCACTACCACGTCAGAGCCATTAAGATGGAAGCAGAAGGGAAAAGGAGGACAACACATTTATTGCTAGTTTAATAAACACACATCAGTACTTAGATACTTTATAAATACTGATCCATTTAACATTATTATAGCCTTTTGTTTCCTCACGTTGTAGATTAATAAACTGAGGCATAGAGAGGCTAGGTAGATTGGTTGGAAAAGGCAGAGCCCTTCATATCCCATTGGTTGTCTGCTGATTGTGGAGGCCTGGAAACCATGGGCCCAGACAAATGCCAGGTGCTCTGGTACTACCAAAGAGCGGGGGTGATGGAAGGCTGCTAGTTACTGAGTCCCAGCCCCTGGCTCTCCCGATCCCTTGCCACACACCACATGTTCCAGAAATCCCAGTATCTACTCTGTCTTTACCAGGATCTACATTTCTGCTGGCAGTGCCTGGTAGTGACTGGTCCGAGACTGAGACTGGGAAGGGAAAAAAAGCCCTATGACATCTGATGCTTTCAGGGCTTCCTCCTCTCCCCCTTAGAAACACGCCTGCTGGGGTCTCCCCCAGGAGTTCTGCCCTGGATTAAGCAAGAGGAAGAGGCATGTGGGAGGAACCTGCAGGAACTGACCACTACACACCTGGGCTCAGGTAAGGCTTAGGGGACAAGGCTGTGGGCTGCAATCCCTAGGCCTTAAGAAACAAGGGTCCCCTGGGTAGTACCTCCAGCCAGTCCTTCTTCTGTATGAGTGTCCTGAAAGGCGGGGAGGGGCAGCAAGCAGGTGACCTGTGTTGTTTTCATAGCTCTGTGGCCTTGTACCTTTGCTGGAGGTATCTTCCCATGAAATTACTGTGTTTTTATTCCTGAAATTATTTGCTGGCTTCATTTTATGAACTTTAGCCAGCATGGTGCTGGGCACTTCAGGGATCCATGGTGCATAAGACACAGGTTCCCCATCCCTGGATGGAGTTTGCATTTAGGAAGAGAGAGAAGACTAATGCAGATACACAGTGTATTAGAGGAGGAAAGAACTATATCTAGGTCTAGAGAGCCCTTTGAGAAGCTGCTGAAGGTATGGACAGTATCCTAGGAGAAAGCACCTGTGCTTACAGTGTGGATACGGATCTTAGCTGGGCTGTCTTGTTCATGGACGTGTTAAGGTGTGGTGGACAAGATGTCTCATTCATGGCTATACTGTCAGGGAGACACATCAGTGTGCTGCTCTTGGGAGGCTCCGTGGAGAGTAGAGATCTGAGAGGGGCTTGAAGCGTGAGTAACAGAGTGGAGGGCAGAGGTATTCTGTGTGGGGAGGACCCCCTCATCATCCCTGTTTGGATGATGTCATGAGCACAGGCAGAAGGCAAATTGGAGATTAAGTAGGCTGGGGCCAGAGTGAGGCTCTTAGTGACAGGCTTGTGTGACACGCAGGCTGCAGACACCAGGAGAGCAAAGTTTCATGGCCTGGCCCCAGAGCCTGGGGCACAAGTGACTCACTTGCTGTGTCCCCTCCCAGCAGAGACCTGGCTGGCCAGCAAAGAGAAGAGCCTAGAAGGAGAGTCTGAGGGGCTGGAGCCAGCCTGGGCAACTGAAGGAGAACCTGGCAAAGAGGACTGCGAAGAGGGCAACTGTAGGGATCCACTTCCTGTCTCCAGGGAGAGAGAGATGGCTGCCCTCCCTCCAGGCCCACAGAGCCAGGCTGTGTCAGGCGCTGAGGGCATAGAGCAGTGCTTGCCCTGGGCTGAGAGGGGCCAGAACTTCAGCAGCAAGGAACTTGTTGTGCAACATAAGCGCACACACCATGGCCCCCAACCTTTTGCCTGTGGCCAGTGTCCTGAGAGTGTCACACAGCCGACCACCCGCAACAGCCACCTCCGTGCACACAAGGCACAGCGTGACTACACCTGCACCCAGTGCGGCAAGAGCTTTGTCCACCAGTCAACACTCACCACGCACTATCGCACGCACACCGGGGAGAAGCCTTATGAGTGCACCGAGTGCAAGAAGCGCTTCGGCCGCCTGTCTACGCTGCTAGAGCACCGGCGCACACACACAGGTGAGCGGCCTTTCCCGTGCTCACAGTGTGGCCGCCGCTTTGGTCGTCTGTCCACGCTGGTGGAACACCGGCGCACACACACAGGTGAGAAGCCCTTCCCATGCACCCAGTGTGAAAAGCGCTTCACACGCCTGGCCAACCTGACTGTGCACCAGAGCGTACACTCAGGAGAGCAGGCCTTCCAGTGTGCCCAGTGTGGCACGTGCTTTGCACACAAGCCTGCCTTCCTGCGACACCTGCGTGGACACTCTCAGGAGAAGCGCTTTACCTGTGGTCAGTGTGGCAAGAGCTTCACCTGTCGCTCCTGGCTTGTGCGCCATCAGGGCAGTCATGCCAGTCGGGCTGCCTCTGCTTATGTGGCTTGCAAGAGGGACTTCTCAAGCCATGATCCCCTTAAAGATGCAGCGTGGGGAGGGTCCCTCAGTGACCCTCCTGTAACACCCAGATCTGAGGGCAACAGAATAGAACAGGACCACAGATTGCACCCTGGTGGGAGGCAGCTGAGTGATCAGGAAGGCCTGAGACGGTCTCTGCACAGTTTCCTGTCCCGTGTGAAGATGGAGAATGCAGGATAGCACTCAGAACTCCTTGATGGGGCCACTGAGGACATTAGCCATTGGTGCCCCTTGAATCCAGGCCACCTCCTCAGAGGCACTAGTCGGTCAGGTCATAGGGCCCTCTGCAGTCCTCTAGGCTTCCCAGGGTAGGAATGTTTTGCCAAGGCCTGCCAGGTTGGCAAAAGCCCCAAGGGGCTTCCTGTCGCAGTGGAGGCCTAGAGGCAGGATCTGAGCAGTGGAGGGAAAGAACTGACTGCCTGGGAGGGAAAGGGGTGAGGGAGTGGATTGCTTTTGCCTCTGTCCATCCAGGCAGTGATTTTTGGGAGACATACATCCCGGTTTGGAGAGGGTAAGGACTCAGTGCTTTGAGATGGAGATGGCTTGCTTGCTTCAAGCCGTGCTTTTGGCTTCATGCATGTTAACCATGCAGATTTAAAAGTGCTTCCTAAGGTGGAGACCAGGCTAGACCCAGCTTCCCTTTAATAAACTGAGTCCATTTGCCCAACAGACATGGATCCAAGAACCTTGGTGAGTTGTGACAAGATTTATGGGAACTTTCCCTGGCTCCCACCTTCCCCTTCACCACCATCTGGGAAAGGCATCTTTGTAGGCTGTATTGTCCCATTGGGGAGCCTAGTCTGGCTGTGGCCTAGAGCTCATGAGCAGCCATTATGTCCCCCACAAGGCACTGTCCATTTGGCACATGGCTTGCCTTCAAGCTGTTGTTGGATCAGGCAGACAATGGTTCATTCTGAAGCCCCAACCTGTGCTGGAGGTAGATAGCTCATTGCTAGCTGTGGGCTGTGAGAACTATCTCCCATGAACAGTGGCACCCGAGGGCACACAAACACTGGCAGGTGGCATGGGCACAATAAATTTGTAGAAACACCGAAAATAAGAAGGAAATGTGAGTGTGGTCTCTCAGCAACTGAACAGTCCCCTAATATCCTAGTGGCACTTGTCACCATCTCATCCATAAAGGGTGGCTGGCCAATTTGGAGTTCTGCTGTTTTGATAAATTGAGTTCCTCATTAGCTGCAGGGATCTTGGCCCAAATTGGGTTCCAAGATCCCCTAGGACTCTCAGAACCCCAGGTGTTAGAAAATCCCATATCTCACACTCGGTGCCCCTGGGTACTTAGAGTATATGCATGTTCCCAAGGACCCACTGGAGGGGCTGGGGCTGTTTGTGCCATTTTACCCACTTTGGAGGGCACAGGAGCAGGTGTGGGTAAACTGAGAGTCACACTCAAAGGCGTGTGGCAGTTCCTTGCACTGTCCTCTGGTCTTTCATGTCTGTTTGTGGAGTTGTTTTTTTATTGGAAGATCTGTAATTTGTCATATTCACTTAAAACCTTTGTAAATATGATGTATGAAGACTTGTGAACTTCTCCTGCTTCCTTGTGACCCTACTAGAGATCTTGTTTATGATATGTTTGATCCCACATTCTGATAATCAGTAGTTAATTACAGTTATTTTCAACTGTGCTTCCATTTTGAAGTTCTGGGGAAAAAAAAGTACTGGATGGATTGAAATCCAGGACAGGGTTCCAAAAAGGAAGGCAGGGTCTGGGTGGGCTTGGTGGACCAGGCTGACATTGTCTAAAAGACAGGGGCCTCAGTGCCAGCACTGTTCTAGACTCATAGAAAGCACTTCGGGTTTATGGACTACTGAATAAAAATGTTTCCATAAATAGCATTGATTTTAATGTCATTGATCTGATCATGCCATTTTAACAGCACTCTTTGCCACCTTCCATCTTGAATAATTTTTATATATTAACTATTTTTCATGAAGCGTGAGGTCCCTTGATTATAAGACATCTTTATAGTCTTATATACATTATATACATATAGACTATATACATATAGTCTTTATATACATTACTAAGCAAGGAAAACTTGCATCATCCAAGAGCAGTGTTAGGTCCTTTCAAGTGAAGATGAGCTTCCACTAAGTCAGATCCTAGACTGCTCTTGAGTTTGACCTGGCTTCAGTCATCTGGAATCCCACCATTTTGGTTGGCACTGGGGAGTTCAGTTCTGTAGCAGCAACTCCTACCAGGAATCCCAGGTTATAGACGACTGTCACCCTGAAATGCCTGTGCCTCCCTTAACCTTAACAATGGAGAGAAAGTTCTTATCCTCCAGGGAGAAAAGGTGGCAGGTTCTCTGGTCTTGTAAATTCATCTTAACATTCTGCAGCAGACTGAATTGGGTCCTCAAGCTTATACACTGAAGCCCTAACTTCCAATTTGGTATTTGGAATAGGGCCTTTGGAGGAGGTACTAGGTTTAGGTGAGGGCATCAGGGAAGTGGCTTCATCCTTGTGATGGGATTAGTGCCCTTATAGGAAGAGGCTGGAACTCTGCATGGTAAGAAGGCAGCAAGGTAGGAAGAGAATCCTCATCAGGGCCCAGCTGTGCTGACACTTGATCTCAGACTTCAGCCTCCAGAGCTCCGAGCAGTCAATTTCTGTTGTTGAAGCCATTCAGTCTATATTTCATTATGCAGCCTGAGCTGGTTAAGATACCTACCCCCCAAAAGCTTTCTGATTGCTTCCTTGTTACTGTGCCTTTCTAGAATTTCCACTCCATTTACTGTAGGCTATTGCCATGACCAAGCTTCAAGGGCCCATTTCAGCAAATGATTAATGCCAGCCCCAGGTGTCCTTACTGAAACACTGAATCCTGAGTCATGGGGAGGCTACCCATGGCAGTGAATTCCCTCCTGTTCCAGCCTCATGTCTGCCCTCTCCCAGTGATCCAGACCCTCGTGCATTTCACCCATTGTCATGGATCAAATTGTGTCTCTCAAAAGATATGTTCAAGTCCTAACCCCTGGTACTATGGGTATGACCTAAGTTCGAAATAGGGTTTTTGCAAATATAATTAGGATTTAAGTAAGATGAAGTAGAGTGAGCCCTTAATCCAATATGACTGCTATCCTTGTGAGAAGAGAACACCACAAGAAGGTGCAGGTACACACAGGAGGACATGGGATGGTGAGTTTGGAGTGGCATGTCTACCTGTGAAGAAATACCAGTGACTGCCAGCAACTCCAGATTACAAGAGAACAATGTGGAACAGATTCTCCCCTAGAGCCTTTAGAGAGCTTGGCCCTGCTGACACCTTGACTTCAGGATTCCGGCCTCCAGAATAATGAAAATAAATTTCCATTCTTTTAAGGCCCCTGGTTGTCAGCAACCCTAGGAAGCTGCTAACACTGCTCTCCAGGTCTGGCAATTCATTGGCATATAAATTATTTCCTCCTGGGACAGAGATGGGACTTTCCACGCTGGGCTGTGCTGAGTTATGACTCCAGGTCACTGGCCTGGAGTGGCACACCTGGAGGAGAGAAAGGCAAGATCAAGATTATTAAGGGTTTCAAGATGAAGACAGTAGAGCATGAAACCAAATGCAGGCCCTTCACAGGGTCCTGTGCTTCTTCTGCACAGTTTCCATGCTTATGAAATCCTGAACTATGGGTGTCTCAAAAGTTTGCTTAGTTGGGTGCCTATGGCTCATGCCTACCTACTCAGGAGGCAGAGATCAGCAGAATCAAAGTTCGGAGCCAGCCCAGACAAATAGTTTGCAAGACCCTGGTGGAGTGGCTCAAGGTGTAGGCCCTGAGTTCAAGCCCCAGTTCTAAAAACAAAAAACAAAACCAAAAAAATCCTACAGACCTTGGGTAACCGGGGAGTTGAGTCAAGGATTCCCTCTCTCCTTTCAGGGATACTCCTCAGCCTGTACTCTTCCCTGGTGACAGGAGCAGATATATTCCTTCAAAACCTCACTCCTGTCTGGTGCAGTGGCTCAAGTGGTACAGTGCCTGCCCAGCAAGCGTGAGTTCCTGAGTTCAAATGCCAGCACCACAAAAAAACCAACCAACCAACCAACCAAACAAAAAAACCCTCACTCCTGAAGTGGTTATAGCACTCTCATATTTTGTCCCCTAGTTGCATTGGTGGGGCACAATCCTAACCAAACCAACTAGAGTCCTTCCCTAAGATTTTTTCCAGCTCAAGCCTTTTTGTCTCTGGCAACAGAAGTGTGGAAGTGTGAGCCTAATAAATGGTGGAGGCAGGGTCTCAGCTGCCTGGAGAAACTGCTTTGAGACATCAAAGCTGACTTAAGAGGGAACCAAAGGAGAAAAATGAAGCAAGAGACATCTGACAGCATTTGAATTCCTGGCTGTCGCTTCTTCACTGATATTTTCACTGTGGCCCAATAAATATTTTATTTTGCACCAGTTGAAATTTAATGTCTGCCACTGACAGCTAGTGTTAGTACAACATGATGTTTAAGATGACACGACACTGAGGCCCAGTTCAATGTCAGGGCATGTGACTTCAGATCAAGAGGGCCCTGCTTCAAATCCAGGTGTCCCCTGTTTTCTCCACTTGCAGGTGGAGTCCGTCTTTTGGGATGGAGTAGTACGTAGCAGGGAAAGGTGGTGATAGCGGGGAAACAATGGGAAAACCTTAAGGAACTGGAGAAATAGATGGTGAGAACAATGAACAGATGTCCACCAGAGGGAGCGATGTGATCAGATGAAGCTTGAAACAAAACAGGACAATGATCCGGCAATGTCTGGGTTGGAGGATAAAACGGGGAGAATAGACCTACACTATTTCAGTCAACGACCTGAGCTGGGCTAAGCCTTGCTACTTCAACCTCACCTGCAGGTCCAGTCCCACAGCCCTTGCAATCTTCCCTTTCTCCATGCTGCTGACAGAAACTTCAAGAAAATAGTTTCTCTTTTGTGGCCCGTACGTGACGCTCAAGTGCAAAAGACCTCTTTTGGCCTTGGGTGCAGACACTTCACCTGGAGGCCTGAGACTAGAAGAATGGTCACATTGCAGGTATGTCACAGTGGGGACAATTCTCTGGACCATGAGCCCTCTGGGGTGCCAAGATAAACTCTTATTCAGCTAGGGGCCCCCAGCACCTGACACACACTGAACACGGTAGAGGCCCAATAAATAGCTGTTGAATGCATGGACTAGCACTCCCCTCT